TGCACATATATCATATTTTGAATGCAATTGATGCCATCATAATTATATATTATTTTATATAATTAAAAAAAAAATACACATTTATATAAAATCTAAACTAAACTATTTCTAGTGAAATATTTCCACGTGATTCTATTATCACTTTAAGAAAATTTAAATACCAAATTTAACCAAAACGATTCTCAGTTTCATTTCGTAATTTAAAAAAATAAAATAAATTAATTAAAATTATAATGTATGTCTATTAAAAAATCTAAACTTAATTCTAATATTGTTTTATATTTATATTTTAATTAAAATGAAATAAATGCCAAAATTTGTTCTATATATATAATATTTATTTATAAAATATCTGATGATTGCTTTTGCTTATTTTCAATAGTTCTTTGGCAATTTTTCTTTCAGTGCTTTCGGAACTGCTTCACCAGCCACAAAACTGTGCTGAACATTAAGAAATTCTTTCATTCGATCGTCAGTTAGCGCCGGGCTAAGATCTCAACCAAGAAGAGCGTCTTCTTAGCGTTGTGCGGTTGATAGAAAAAAAAAAACAAGTTTTGTTGTAGTTTTTTTTTCTTTCTTTTATTTCTTTGACATTTTGTGCGAAATGATGGTGCTGTTGCCGCTGCCGCCTAATTTGGAGAAGAACGAAAATGTACCGAGTGCTAAAATCAATTAGCATACTCTATAGGATCGCTTTGTTGTTGTGGCCATTGTTTTGCAAAGCGGCTGATTCGACCATTCTGAATGGATCGTCTGTGTTTGGCCAGGCGCAGCTGCAGGCCCTCAAGATCTTTGATAGCGATCGACCCGCTCAGCTAACCGCGCGCAGTTTTCTCTGCCTGCCCTTCTTCCGTGTATTCAACTTGGAGCTGCGGCCCGACCTCCAGCTGGCCGTCGATGAGTTCATCGCTGTTAGCGGCGATCATCCGGCTCTGGGTGCCTGGAATGTTGCCAAGGCGCTGACGCTGCGCGCCCAGAATAAGCAGCGCAGCAAATGGTATCTGCGTCGTTGGATATGCGCCAGCCATCGTGTCTACTATCGCTATCTCATCTATACGCTGAACGCCGCCGGCCAACGTGTGCTGCGCCGCTGGGAGGCGCAGCAGGTGGCGCGCATGCTGCAGACCTACGAGATCTATCGGCCGCCGGGCGTGGATGTCTTTGGCGAGGCCTATCCCCGATCGGTGGGCGGCGGGCACTCGCTGGAGCGCGGCTGGCTGCAGCGCGAATACGTCATCGAGCTGAAGTTTGTTTGGCAGCAGCATTTCCTGCTCGCTGGCCTCACCAGCCCACAGCAGAAGCTGCGCCTCAAGCTGCGGCCGCTGGGCGTGCTGGACAATGCGCTGATCGAGGTGTCGCGGTACGCCTACAATCGCTCGTCCTTTCGGCCGCAGGGTCGCCAAGGCGTCAAGTATGCTCCAGGCGCCATTGTTATCTTTCGCATCAGCCAGGCGCTGGATGTGTCCAATGCCTTTGGGCTGACCATCTATGAGCCCGACGCCGGCGCCGTCCAGATGCCGCTGGGCGAGGCATATATACTGCCCGAGCAGCTGCGCGGCAGTCGCGGCATTCTGAAGCTGGCCATCCAGGGTCAGCTCACCCAGCAGGTCATAGGTCAGCTGACCTTGCCCTATCTGGTGGTGCGACCCATGCCGAATGCTGCCAGCAGCAATTTGCGCGTCAGCTTCCAGCGCTACTGGCCGAACAACTGGCCCACCCTAGACGTGGGCAACCGCGGCCTGGGCATCGGCCATCAGGCGCTCGTGGAGAACACCATCGAAAGTTTTCTGGCTGTGCCGCGGGCCAAGGGCGACATGGTGCACCTGGATGTGCAGCTGACGCGAGATTACGTGCCGGTGGTTTGGCGTGGCTTTGGCTTCTACACCACCAGGCGGGCCAATGCGCAGCGCGTCGAGGATCCCTTCGATCTCCGCTACGTGCTCGTGCGGGAGCTCAGCTATGCGGAGCTCAAGGCGAGTCGCGTCTTCCTGCTGACGAGCTGGAGCATGCAGGAGTACACACACCTGAATGTGCGCAACGTGAGCCAGCCACAGCGACTGTTTCCCAAGTTGAGCGAGGTGTACGAGGCGCTGCCCAAGAGCCTCGGCCTCATCGTGGCAGTCAAGTGGCCGCAGCTGATGGCCTCGGGCGACCTGGAGTCCACGCAGTCGCTCAACAAGAATGTGTTCGTGGACAGAATCATCGAGGTGACAGCGCACTATGGCTGCGGGCGGCCGCTGATCTTCGCCAGCTTCGATGCCGACATCTGCACCATGATGCGGCTGAAGCAAACAGCCTTTCCGGTCATGCTGATGACCACGGGCCGCACGGACATCTGGGATAAGTACATGGATCTCAGAACCCAATCATTTCTGCAAGCCATCAACTTTGCCGAGAGCGCCGAGCTGCTCGGCACTGCGGCCCATGTCAACAACTTTCAGCAGAGGCAAAAGCTGCTGGAACTGGGACTGGATCTGATGCAGGTCGTCTTCGTTTGGGGCAGCGCTCTGCAGGATGTGCAGCAACTGGAGCTGTTTCGTGCCATCGATGCCACCGGGCTGATCTACGATCACATTGACCGCGTGGGTCCTGGCGAATGGAAGCGCGCCCCCTTCTTCCGGGCACCCCAGCTGCTGGAGGTGTTCGGTGGCCAATGCGTGGCCATTGGCAACTCCAGCACAGTGCCGGGCGCCAAGCCCACAAAGCCAACGGTCTGGCCCAAAATGAGGAAATGAGTAAGTTTCTGAACGGGGTCCACATTTGGATTAAGCAGCATGATTCTATATTAGGGTGTTTTTACTTGATTGAGGTTTTTATGATCAGATTTAGGTGTCTAGCCCGAAATGAGAAAATGAGTTTCTCTTAAAGTTAAAGCAAAGATCCTATATTTGGTTTTAGTTCGATTGAGATTGAGGCTCATGATATTTATAGGCATAAATAACAGTTTGATTTGTCTTGATATGAGGAACTGCTTACGTTTGAATTTGTTAGATTTTTAAATTTATATATAGAGTAGATTTTTAATTTGTTAGTTGATATTGGTATGGTGTTTATGTGCAGCTTGTAATTTTTAGTTAAACAAAATTAATCACATAATATTGCAATGTATATAGAGCCCTATTTTTAATATTTTACTATAAGGTATAGCTTGCTTGGAAACTGAAAACG